CATATGGGTGTACCTACTTCCAAGTGAGTGATATCGTTCACACTGAACGCCAGAAAGTCATCCACTAGGATGATAGATATAGTAAAGCCACTCTCGGAGTGGCTATCGTGACTTACTGGCCTAGTGGATAACATTATGTTGTTTGAAGCTTCAGTGGGAACAACATCATGTACTGAGACGCAAGTACATCCAACTGACATGTCCCAAATAGTAGGAAGCGCATGTCCATAGTCTCATAGCCAGGCACTATCCATCATTGATATATGTAACTGCAGTTCTCAATTCTACACGAATGAATGCAGTGGAGTGAATTACAGTGAATTTCGAAGACATTCAACCTAGATTAAATACTTCAAGATATACTTGTCTTGTTGTAAAATACATTTCGTAACAATCATTTTCCTCTTCTATCTAAAGCTCAGCCGCTAACATACGTGTTAATGATGCAATGATTTGAAGAGATTGCGTATGCACTTTGGAACAACACTGGTCGAACACTTGACACCTAGTGATGTTTTCTACATTTAACGACCACTTTTCTCAGTCAACCTTTAAGAGGTAATCAGGTACTAACCAGGCCCATACGTGGCATAAGTTGGTAAGCGTTAATCAGGCCTTTTGTGTCCTCCTCATCAGTCACCAACTCATTAAGGTCAATCTGACTTCACAAGTGAGTAAGGTGGTCAGTGTGTCCAACCATTATCATTCCATTTTCTTAGATAACCCAGCAACACAGACCAGCTCTCGAGCAAAACTTTGCATTTGAATGTTGAGAACACATCAGAAACATTCTCAGAATGCCAACTGACGTGTCTAAAAGTTTTTGGATCGCACCAATATCTTCGTTTAATGTCACTGTTTTATCTGCTTGAGGCCTGTGACATTGTCGATCCCCCTTTATTGAATGGGCTTCCTCAATGTATTTATCAATGTAATCGATCAGTAAAGTAATTATTGCCGATCTATCGCGAAAAACTTCTGAACTTTCTCGTGATAAAACAGTGTAACTTTGATACTTTACTCCTTCTGTTTTCACTTACCCTGTAAACGTTTTGGTCTGCTGACAATAACCTTAGTCGATTACAAAGTCAAGTTGTTCAATCCACCCATGTGCGAATAGTTGACTTGAATGAATCAGTACATCATAAGTCGAAGAGCATAACTATAAATCACACTGCTTAAAAGAGTGTTTCAACTTTATTCTCGAAAGGATTTTCGTCGAAACTACTTATCCATTTATGGTCACAGGATGTATTCCCTTGCAGAAAACTTTCATAAACTAATGAAATATATCACTGAATAATACAAGTTATTAAAAAAACCTTATCGTGTACATTTACAGATGGCTAGATAAACTAGACTTCGAGTTCAATTTACTTGGCTAGCAGTGGACTTCAGAATGCGGACTACGACCTAATTAGTACTATTCATCTGTATATAACTTCACTCTAGTAAGTAATAATGTATCCATTCAGACTGGAACTCTCTTCTACCTGTTTGGAAAATGATCTAACTACTATTCTATCGAAAGTAAACAGTTTCTGACTTTATTGTAAGCACTAAAACACACCAGCTTCGGTCATCATGTAAAACATATGTCTGCATGAAATCTGAATAATGGTTGTAATCTCTGCGCATGTATTACAAAAATCAATTGAACAAGGCTTAGGTATTTTATAGTATTTCGTTATATATATTCTGTTATGCGTATAACGCAGGTACAGATCTAATTAGTCACCCACTTCTTTGAACGTTTATCAAATTACTGTCTTGATTTTAGACATTTACTTTCATTTAAGTCATTAGGTGTTTGTAGACAAACCAATTGATTTTGACTATGAATATTAACGGAAACAATAGTTTTGGTTAATTGGAAACCAAGGTGTGTATGTAGGCTAGAAAGTGGTATTATAATAGAATTTTCAAAACTGTAGAGTGTAGTAACTTTCCTTCCTTTTGATTTGAATCTTGATGTCATGATCCTGGAGGAGGAGATTGGCTCCCACTGGATGAGAACCTTCGATGCTCTTGAAGGGGACATCATGATAGCCCTTCATTCAGTGTGCTCATGATTGTCATCTGGGTGACAATATCGGAGTAGATTATTGACTCTCCAGTTGACAGTTTGGACAGTCCACTTCCATTCCATCTACTTTCCCAGATTCCTAGCCTTTCTGTGCCATATCTTCTCATTTCTTTTGCATTCTGGGCAGCCTTGTCAGTCGGCTTCAAACATTATGCGGGCATTCCATGTCCCTATGCTTACTTTTGCTTTCATCAAGAGAAGCCAAGACGTGTCGGCCATTTGGCTTTCCGAAGGTTTTCACGAACAAGAGTCATTTCGTCTCCCTGAATTCAGAGAGGAATAAGTTTATTTTTGATATTTTTTGTGCTTTGAAGTCTCTTTAGTGACTGGTTTGATTTTCCGGGGTAAGGTCGTTAGCCTCATACCCAACCTTCTCTTTTTTGGGGGGCTTAGGACCGGCTACTAACTAGTGAAGTAGTAAGCTGTTGATTACAGTAACTAATCCACAGCAATTTGACCCTATCGATAATCTAATTGCATAAAGAGGTATGTCGTTGCATGACTGTCCGTTTCTTAATGTGTAGATATATTCAATATTCATTGTATGAAAAACTAAATTATTCCTAAATATCTTCGTCTACGCATATTAATGAAACTGATAGTCTCACTGTCAGTTCCGATCTGTAATTCTTGGTTTTCTATAGACGTTAATCAACTGAGCAATAGACTATAGATATGTTACAGTTGTTAAGAACCACTGAAATGGAAACTGCTATGGAAAACAGAGGTTGTTGAAGAAGGAACTTTTCAGTTTCGATCCATTCCTGATATCCTGCTGTTATTCCAGCCTTTCAATGAAGAAACTGTGGTCTAGTTTATTGATAGATAGTGGCTAGCAGTCGAATCCAGCTTGACGAGCGTTTCCTCCTAATTGGGAATCGTCAGCTGGGTGTATCTGCTTTCCAGCGAGTAGTGTTCTTCCCTTCAGGATTCGGACTCACTACCGATCACTTAAGACCCTGGAGCGTTATCCACTAAGCCTCCGAGCCACGATAGCCACTTCTTGTAAGATGGGTATAGTTTTAATGTTGTCACTTGTTTTATCCCCTCGCTGAGTAGACCGGATTGATCGGTCTCTATTGGAATATGGGCTCCTGCGTACTCCTGCCTACTATTTCAAGTCCTATTAGAAACAACATCGCTCACTGAAAAACAAGCACATCAAGGTGACTAGAGAGTCCCAGATAGGACGAAACGCTCCTCAAGTTGGATTCTATTGCTAGCCACTATCCATTATTAGTTTTTAATTCAAACATGGACAATACTGAGGCATCTGAGGCATTATTCAACTGACTGAAAATGCAGTGAACTATACTTTATTCTGGGTCTGAGTAAAATTTTCTAATTTTCAACCAACAAGCACCTCTTTGACAGTTGGTAATAATTGAAGATTGAGCATGATGATGACTACCGGTTTGATTATCGGTGGCAACCACGGTTTGGCAGACTTGTATCATCGATACGGGGTAAAATGAAAATTTGGGTTGCCAAAGAACTGGAATGAGAAGACATAAGTAGGCAGCCAGTAGGAATACGATGAACTGACAGTTACACATCACAAATTCATAAAGCAGTCGAACAACAAAACCCTTGGTGATTAGAGTGATGTTGGGACTAGTTCAGAAGCTGAGTCCCACAGCTCAGTTAGCACAGCACCAACCCTGCAACCCATAGATCCCTGGTTCGAATCATATTGTGACTCGGATATTCATCTCACCCTTAATCATCACTAATTATGGGAATGACGGAGAAGATATGTAGCTCAGACGGATGGTATTGGTTTTGTTGCATTCTCTGAGCTCGATGCTTCATTGTCTTTCTGAACAACATCATCGGCACTAATTTCAATATGAAGTGAGATGTCAACATCTCTCAGTGGTTGATTCAGTAGCTTACCCGGACCGAGTGGCCTGTGACTGGTAGTTTCCGTTGACTCTTATGTCATTTACTGCGTTGAAGACATGATTTGTTAGTTTTCAGTTAATTAATGAAGACTTTACTTCGTATCATTTTTTATAATGTTATTTTGAGCGATAAGGTTGCACAGATCCGCGTAACAAGTCCAAATCGTCTGGTTCCTTTCACAACCAATCATGTTGCTTTAAAGTTTCCCAGGAAAACATGTGAACCTACGTCCTAATATAAGGAAGGACTCAAAAACACCGTTGTATTTTGTACATATTCGGGGGCTGAGATACGCTTTCGGTTATTCCATTACCTTTTCTATTTACCGGGAAACTGATCAACCATCAAGGTCAAATCTGAAGGTTGTTGTTAAAGTGTTTAATACTCAATGTATGACGAGCTTTTGAAAAGATACTAGTGTGACTAGGATATCTAGTTCGACAACGTAACATTTGTCGGTGACAGTAAACAATTAAACATCGGTGATGTCAGTACACCATTTGAAAAAGACGTAAACATTCATCACTTCCATCTTGTCGACATCAATTTTGTCTTTAAATATCTTTACTAAGAAAGGAAGTGATCTCGTCATCAAGACTAGGTAAAATACCCACAACCAAAAGTCAGTTCTATGAAATTTACAGTCATCTAGCTTCGAGGTGACAAATAAGGAAATTTCAAGTTGTTATTCATCGAAGACTGACATCAGTTGGAGGAACAAAGGAAACCTGGGAGCACTGGACAGCTGTTTCGTCCTAGTATGGGACTCCTCAGCAGTGCGCACCCACGACCCCACCAGCAGGGATCGAACCCGCGACCTTCAGGTTCTGCGACCAGCGCATTACCATCGAGCCTTTGTTCCTTTGTTCCTCCAACTGATTTCAGTCTTCGATGAATAACAACTTGAAATAATTCCAAATCTCCACAACCCCTCAAAATTTAAATAAGGAAATGTAGATTTTGTTGTTATTCACATTTTTTTAGAAGAAAGATTTAGAAAACAACTCACCCATGTTGTAAAAGGTGAATGTTCACCTCCTGAGAGATATTTCCCATCTTCATATTGACTATTATTCTGTAATGGTTTCTGATTACACAGGATTACTTCTGAACATGGTATATGTTCCACTGTTAGAATATTTCCATTTATTGTTTTACAAGATGATTGTTGTTGAAGATGATTTATACGTGGAGGCAGTAAAGGTGGTGAAGGTTGACAAGTAGGAGTAGATTGTGGATTTGAAAAGTTTCTAATTAATTTGTTACCTTTCAAATTCATACAATTCTGTCCTGAATTCCTTTTAATGAGATAAAAAACAAGCGGGAGGATAAAGAACAAACTTAAGTTAAAAGAAAACACAATAGTTTCTACTATCTAACTGACTAACTGTCATGTTTAATTTAAACAACTTTGGTGGTATACACATTGAATATCATTAAAAATAACATTGGAGGTAGAAAGAATCAATCGATGCATTGCAATCAAGAGACAAATAAACCGTTGAAATCAAACTTTCAGTGTTTACATTTATGTAGATGAAAATTTCTCCCATCATCTGTTCATCTGTTGTGTTTTTGTCCTGTTAACATTTGGGAGCTAATACATTCTAAAGCAAATGAGTGATGAGGTCGAATTATAAAGTGGTTGTATACAATGGAATAGTTCCATTGACGATGATTACTGTTGGTAAACATCTGCCAGTGACTTCAATAAGACATTAAAAAAGTTAGAGAAAATGAATGTTTCTGTAGTGTAAGAAAATAGGCACCAATCGAGATCAGAAACTTTTGCTGAGCTAAGGTTTCGACCACTTTGTCTGTCATCAGAATTGTGTATTTATTATCCTAAAGATGCCTATAGTCTATCATGCATTTATATATGTTCAAGAAACTTCTAAAACTAGGAGTGTATTATTTAGCCATTGAACATGACTTTCAGCGGTATGAAAGTATCGTAGATATTTTTCTGTGTATTGCTGATTGATCTAAGTCATATGTCGACATAGTCAGCAGAAAATTGGAAATTAATCAAAGAAAGTAAGTAATGCAGGTTGATGTGAAGAATTTAACTTTACTAACTGTAAGTGGGTTTACAGGAGCCAGAGGAAAAGAAGATCAAATGTCAACCAATTGAGACTACCAGTTTTAACATCATCATGGGACTGGAACATGGTTTGACATCTTATTTATTTGATTAGTGAGCAACATTTGACAGGTATTTTTGTACTAGATCGCGTATCACCTCGATGAAAAGAAAGCTCACCAGAATTTGACTGTTGCTTCAGTAGGATAGCGAAACAAACTTTAGTGATGATGGTTCGGTGTTTGCTAAGCATTGATATTTTGTTGTGGATATTTCATCAACATATGTGGTTAGATTATCAGTTTATTTTGTGTATTTCATGAAATCTGATGATGAAACCTGCATGACAAAATATCGAAAGTAATTCTCATCGTCAACCACAAATTTTTTTATCATTTCTAACATGAATGATATGTTTTTCATTCTGACTGCTGAAATCTCCTTTCAAAAATGTTATGCTTCATTGTCCAGATTCTTTTGTATTTCGTTCATATGAGGATAACACCGGATGTGATATTTGGAGATTATTCAATTAAAGCGTATCAAAGATGTGAGCGTATTTAAGTCTCAAAATTTTTATAAGAGATAGTTCGACATGTTCGACATTAACTGGCTAGACCTCCTAAACACTCTTCTCTTATCGTTGAACATGGTATTTACGCATTTATTTGTAGTCATTAGGCAAAGAAACGGGAGACGACACATTTACAGATCCTTACTGGCTTTTTTCAACACTTTTCGAAACTTTCAACTTATACTGAAAAGTAAAATGGGAAATATAGCTCACTTATTTCATCTTAGTCTGTATGTTAGATGTGCCACGCAGTGAAACAGTTTTATTTACTGGATAATGTTAACAAGCATATGGTAGTGCTATTTCACTATATAACAATTCTAATTAACAGACTGTAATGGAATTACAATCTACCGCAGTACACAAGTCTTACGCCGATATTAACAAAACATACACTCAACCGGTTCGAAGATTTATCAATAAACTCACACGACTATCACAGAAAGTAGGCATCTTTATTCTGGGTGATGATTGAAGATGAAATGAAAATTTCTACCATGGTGAGATTCGAACCAGCAACCATCGACTTTACGGCCTGATGCTTTGCCAACTGAGCTACGAAATCCGTCTACTAACTAGATATTTATTTAATTTCACATCTGATGGTCAATAGTTCGAATCCGGCCACAGTACAAACTTTCATTACACCTTCAAACATTACGCAGTATAAATACTAGTCTGTCAAACTATGGCTATCTCAGATAGTCGAAATGATAATTCTGTGTCTTACAAATTGAAACATTCTTAAATATTTACGTCTACGTGCACCAATTTCAATAGATAACATTAAAGAAGTGATAGAAAGTGCTAGTATACTCAGTCTTAAAGAAGAAATCCATGGGATATTCTAGGAGATGTATAACCTGAGTAGTCCAATTGAAGCCTTGAAATGTGAGCTGATGATAACAGTTAATGAAAAAGACTTTGAAATCCTGATAAAATGTTGCGATTGATCAAGGTCGGCTAATTTCAAAAAATCTGAAGATTCTCAACAGGCTTAAAGAAGAAAGGTACACAGATGATCGAGAAATCAGACTAGGTTGTTAGTTTCTCAACTAGAGTCCTAAACTCAGCAGAAGTAGAAGTAATAGAGAAAGTCGTTTAATTCAGTGGAAGGATGAAGGAATTGGGTCCAGATGGTGTTATTCTAAAAATAGAGGAGTCGTTACTTTCAACAGATTAAATAGTCGCAGACGATGTATGAGCACAATGTGCACTAGCACTGAAACGACAGCTGACGAGTCCCAAATAGGACTAAATGCGCATCCTGGATTCCACGGCTAACCATGATCCATAATTAACAAAAGAAAATGAAACCAAGTTTACCCGAAACTACAAAAAGAAATTCTTATAAGCCTTCGGAATGATAATATTATAGTAATTATCAAATTGGTGAATGAACATACAGAAACAGAACGATATGAAAAAACTAAGAAGCCAGTAGGTATTCTACAGGGGATCTTATACACCGAATGAAGCCATTTCTAGGTGAGTCTGGATAGTTCAATCTAATACTGAAATCTATTAATCCCAGTGAGATTTACGGTGTTATAAAGATTCATGAACCAGGTTATTCCATCATACCCATTTTACATCTTATAAACACTTACCTAATGGGAGTATGGACAATAAATTATGTCCGAAATGTTAGCCAGTAAGTGGTAATTTTGATTCCCTGTGTGACAATTGCAACAAACAGACTAAAATGGAATTACACTATCCTATACTGTCGAAGTCTTTTCCGTATATTAACAAGGCAGTTACTCGTCAATAACTTTTTAAGGGATATAGAAATAATGTTAACATCGTGCTACAAATAAACAATAAGAAATGAAGTTAAGGAAACTTAAGTACTCATGAAATTTCTTAATTACCATGTTGCAGTGTGGAGATCTAGTGCACTCCGCTCAGCATAAAGCCTGAACAACATCCGCATTTTCAACACCAATGTCAGTCAAGTCAGTCAGTGCTTCTATATGATGGTTCAGAAACTTGGTGTGTCACGAAAAACATTTCCTTCCAACAAACTACACACATTCATCAACAGCTGCCGCCTACGCTCACTCGATAGTGAAGATGCGATCAGATGAGAAGGCGAGAAAGAATAAGCAAGGAGGAACTCTACACTTGCAAGGAATTGACGAAGCAAGAAGCTATGACCTAACAACTATACAGTGGAAGGAAGTGGAGATTGTTTGTATTGGGCATACACTGATAAGACCGATTGTGGATATCACGCGTCATACCAGGCTCTCGAGTAGAATCCAAGTGGGAAATGACGAGTTGGACGTACGAGGTGAAGGTGACATGTAGGAGATGGTGTGAGGAATAAATGAGAACTTATTGGGAGTCGTGGAGCCAGGTTGAGCAGACTGTAGAGAGTAGAGTTTAATGCAGATGTGCTACTGAAGCTGTATGTTCCAGTAAGAACCCACGGGAAAAGAATAAATACTAATTAATAGCGTGGTCTTTGTTCTCATCATGTTTCAGCAGTCAACCTTGAAATAACTTGGTATTGAATTTTGACTATTTTTATCGACAACGTTATGACGGGATATCGATACTTTCTTGACTGTTTGTCTACACATATGTTTCAGGCAACACAAATGCGATTAATTTTCTTAGCCGACGCTGGTACTTTTTTCAGAAAGGTGCTTTTTCTTCAGAAGACTCTTTAATGTTACTGTTTCACCTCAGTTGGTAGATGAGCTGCTATGTGGATGCCTCGATAATACCGGATATTCATCACTTTGTATTCATTTTGGTAACGTGTAGTAGAGTGTAGGACACGCGTTTTGTCCTGTTAAGGGCTCGTCGGCTGAATACACTTGAAACCCAAGGAGTTAAAGTTGTTTCTTGTGAAACTCAAAACCAGTATCCATCCCTTCAAATGCCAAGTGGTAATGTAGATGCTTTGAGTCACAGTGGGAACAGCATCATTAACTGCGGTGCAGATACATACAACTTACAAGTGAATCCAAGTGAGTCCAGGGAACAGTCAATGTATATATTCCAGTCCAACAGGATATCGGTTATGACCTGAATGCTTCATTGGCACTCTCTCCGACTGGATAATTGGTAAACATGTATTCGAATCTCGCAGAAATACACCAGTTCTCTTGAGTTCACGGGTACCTCATGTTGATGACTACCAATAAAATCAATGATTTCCACTCTAAACTACAGCTGTTATCAGAACTTTTTGAAGATAGTGGTACCAGTTTTCAAACTTCTGTATTTGAAAAATTCAAATTATGACTGAATGGTGTTAAGTTACTTCTTTGAATAAAATGAATAATAAAGGTATTTCAATTGAGTTGGATTAGTCTGTTGAAATGGAGAATACTATTGTTTTCATACCACTGCATCAGTTTTAGCCTCAGTAACACCAGGTAGTATGATAAACTCTAAAAATTTAGGCGTGATATACATAACCCGTTGTTATTATGTTTAGTAGAATCAGTGTATGTTTACTATATAAAATGATTTTGACACTGTTAAGGATATCTTTGAATAAAACTGAACATTAACCAACACTATTTAGCTTTCATTTTTAATGAGATATCCTTCTTTGTCTTATGAAATTCCCATAGAAACGCCAATAGCTACACTCTAGGAGCAAAAGGGCGTACTTTTCAACT